GTATGTATGTATGTATGTATGTATGTATGTATGTATGTATGTATGTATGTATGTATGTATAAGGAAGGAAGGAAGGAAGGAAGGAAGGAAGGAAGGAAGGAAGGAGAGAAAGAAAGACAAAACTAGAAAGAAAGAAAGGAAGGAAGGAAGGAAGGAAGAAAGAAAGAAGTAAAGGAAGAAATAAAAGAAAAAGAAAAAAAGAAAGAGAGAGAAAGAAGGAAGGAAGGAAAGAAAGAAAGAGAAATTGCCTGGAGGGGCTTGTCCAAATCCTTTGATTTTATTTATTTATATATCAAATTTATATAACTGCCCATCTCACAAACAAGTGTTGCTGGAGGGTGTACTGTTCGATTTTTAGAAGTGTCCAAGTGTACTTTTGTGCTCTATGCCTGCATCCTTCGCATAAACCACTGATGAGGAAAAGGAGTGGCCGAACTCGGGGGTGGAGTTAAAAAAGACATCAGCCTTAGAATCCCTACATAGCCACAAGCTAAGTAATCCAGCCACCCTTGAATTCCGTTAACTCTTATCTAACTCCAAGCAGGTGTTAACCGTTAGTTGAGAAGATTCCTGTGCATACGCATGATTAGCAATAAGTCAGTTTAATTAGACCTTGACTTGAACCTGATGTTTTGTGCCTTACAATAATGAAGGAAAGTCTTTTGTGTATCAAATAAAAATGTTTACTCTACACACTAGAGTTTATTCTGTAGTAAACTTACTAGCCTTGGAAACCTTGTTAGCAGAAAGGGGAAAATGGGCTGCCGGGGGGGGGGGTTGTTTGTAGAAAAACGGCACGCAAGGAGAAAAAGGTTGGCCATCACTGCCATAGAATTACATCTTTTTTTCTTTCTTTCCCTTCTCTCATTTTAGGCCCTATGAGAAAAAGGGAAAGCTAAGGATGCTGGAGCAGAACAATGGATTTCTCCTTCTCTTTCATGCAAGGGATCATGGGAAACACAATTCAGCAACCACCTCAACTCATTGATTCGGCGAACAACCGCCAAGAGGATGCTTTCGATGCCCACAGTGACATCACAGAAGATGGTCGGCAGACACCCTATGAAGCTGCCCTCGCTCTGCAGCAAGGTTTTCAGTATCCCACGCCAACGGCCGAGGACCTCCCGCCCCTCATTAATGGATTTCCCCAAATTGGCATGTACGAGCCCCAGACCAAATTCCAGTCCTTCAGCCAGTATCCCAATGGCTCTGCCAACGGCTTTGGCACCGTTAGAAACTTTAGCCCACCGGAGTATTATCAGATGGAGAACTCTAACCTAAGGCCACAAGACCTTCTGGAGAAGCCCTCCCCTCCCCAGCCCCCTCCTCCCTCGGTCTCCCAAACGGTGATTCCAAAGAAGACAGGCTCACCAGAAATTAAACTGAAAATAACCAAAACTATCCAGAACGGCAGGGAATTGTTTGAGTCCTCACTGTGTGGGGACCTTTTAAACGAAGTGCAAGCGAGCGAGTTTGCGAAGTCCAAACACGAAGGGAGGAAGGAGAAGCGGAAAAAAAGTAGCAAGCATGATGCTGCCCATTCGGAAGAGCGCAAGTCACGTAAGATTCCCAAGCTCGAGCCGGAGGAGCAAAATGTAAGTTGGAGTAAAATAATAATAATTCAGTTTCTTCTCCTCCTTCTTCTTTTCTTCCTCCTCCTTTTCTCCTTCTCCTCCACCTCCTTTTCCTCCTCCTCCTTTTCTTCTCCTCTTCCTCCTCCTCTTTCTTTTTCTCCTTCTCCTGCTCCTTCTTCTTTTTCTCCTCCTCCGCCGCCTCTTCCTTATTTTTCATGCAAAGCATTGCTTTTCTGAGGCTTTTTCTTAATATTTTTTTCATCTTGCTTGTCAGCTTGTCTTTTATGGAATATTGCCAATCAGTGCCCAAAGATTGCTTAGTAGCATTCCGTACTGGTCTGTTTGTTTGTATAAATGCATTTTACATTAAAAAAATAAAAATTGTAGATTTTTCTCTACCGCAGGGGGAAAAAAACCCAAACCATCTTTTGCAACCAACTATGCAAATTGTCAGAATAATTTATAAAGAACTTTAGATTCTTCTAGAGTCAAATTGTACAATACTATTGATGGGTGAATATTATCTCAGTAATTTTATTACAGCTGAGTGACATGACGGCTATTAAAGTTGTACAGTGCTTCATTTTGGGGTATAATTAGGGAGAGAGACTGAAAATCATATGCAGTACATTTTATGTTAACAACAATTTCTGGTCTTTTTGCATTTTCTGTCTATTTTTTTTTCTTTTTCTTTCTGTATTAAATTATAAACCTCCCTGTGTGAATAGGGTAATTGTTTCGTGCAGATATCTCTTTTAATGCCAAGAACAATTCATATAAAGCAGGCTATACTTTATTTAGCTTCATGGGATAATTTCTGATTTTCAGGCAATATTGGCTAATCAAATCATCTGCCTGAAGGTGTAAAAATACTATTTTAGATAAGTAATTTTGAAATTTCAAATTTTCTTCAGTGTAATCCAGTAGTATCCGTACCAGGGTTGAAATCCAGCAGGTTCTGACAGATTCTGGAGAACCGGTAGCGGAAATTTTGAGTAATTCGGAGAACCAACAGAGTGGGGTGGGAATTGAGATTTTACAGTAACCTTCCCCTGGAGGGGGGAATGGAGATTTTGCGGTATTCTTCCCCTGGAGTGGGGAGGGAAGGGAGAATTTGCAGTATCCTTCCCCTGGAGTGGGGAGGGAATGAGGATTTTGCAGTATTTATTTATCCATTTTATTAATTATTTGATTATTTATTTATTTTGTTATTTATTTATTTGATTATTTATTTATTTGATTATTTGTTTATTTATTTGATTATTTATTTGATTATTTATTTATTTGATTATTTATTTATTTGATTATTTATTTATTTGATTTTGCCGCCTATTTGCCCATGGTGACTCAAGGCGGCTTACAGAATATAAAACCACATTTAAAACAATAAAAACTAACAAAAAGAATCAAATAAATTAATATAGT